AGTGTCAACATTCTCTCAATGTTGATAGCAAATGTTGCAATGACATTCGTAGAAGTGTTGCAGCAACATCCTAAGTGAAAACATTGAAGCAATGTTTTCTGAATGTTGTACAGCAACTTGCAACATAGAGCAACATAGGCAACCTTTCGGAAACGTTTCATCAACATCCTATGTTACTTGGGAAATAGTAGGTGCACTGGATTAGGGTTTAAAATATTTTTTTGGCATCATTGCATCACCCCCTTTTTATATGGGTTTTACACTTGGGAACGATGGCTCCCTAAATTTCATCAGGTGTCGAAAATGACGTTCAGCTTTTGGAATGAAGAAACTCTTTCTCATCGTGCCAAAAATGTATCAGAAAATCAGTGCCCACCAATTAAGCTTACAACAAATACTTAATTTAAATGGACTGACAGGAGTCTCGTGTCAACAGAATGATGTGAATCAAGTAGGGTTAATACCTACTTGTCGGTCTGGATAATTCTCGGTAATCTTGGGTTACTCGAGGACAGAAACTTCGGGTCATAGTCAAATATGTTGAACTTCGGGCACTGGATAGTAATTTGGCTTAGGTAATATATTTATTAGTCAGTATTTGATGTGCAAAAGATCTTCTCATCATAATCTAGACACTCAATATATATGCCCTCATCGCCTATAAAAGGTCCACCATGAAGTTAACCGATCTTGGTGGGGAAAATTAGTATACAAGCTCGTAGCAGTGTGGCAATAAATCAATTAGAATTTCACAAGGCAAGAATGAAGGCTCACAAAGAAAACATGCCGAAAGCCCGAGGAGTGTAGGATTGAGGGAGGTGTCATGAATGTTGCAAATTTATTTTACCTTTCCTCTCAAGCCCCTTCCCTTTCTGGCCATTATTGAATGTCTTAATAACGATATAGCCTCGCTGTCGATCGACTGCAGCGCAATGCCGAGATTATATATTTCAAGTCACTCTGAAACTGTTCATCATTTTCATTAACAGAAAATAGAAAAAAAAAGCATTAAGCTGATGCATTAATTCCTAATAGATAAAGTGGTGCAGCATTAATAACAACCATAGGAATCCATAATTTGTCATGATAAGGCCTTTTTATCAATGCATTTTTAATGCATTGTTTAGGGGCATATATAATTTCTTCGATATTTGGGGCCCAAGGCCATAGTGAGTACCCCTCCTCCCAGAGCACGATGAATAAGTGGGTGAAATTATTTTAGGATCATCGCTAAAATGCATGAGCGTCTGGGATCTGGGCTCGTCACACGAAGACTACGGAAGAAGAATCACCATCTGGAAATATCCAAGTCTTCCAGGTCCCGACGCTAGCCCCACCGACCACGAAATTGCTCCCAGACGGTCGATTGGCCCACAGCTACTTCGTGTAGTCGTGCACCGCTTTGTCAGAGGAGGAGACCAGGAGACCGCCTTCATTCTTGCACGCCATCCCGGTGTCATATCCAAGGATGCTCCGCACGGTCATCTTCACGTAACTTCTCGTACCCGGCACCAGGTTGTACCCTTCCGGAAAAGTCAATCATTTAACTTAATGGTATGGTGAAGAGAGTAACATAGAAACTATTTGGCGAGAATGATTCGGATGAGGCCTTTCTGGTTAGATAAGCCTTTTCAAGTTTACGTAACCGGTTCCCACTTAGGTCGAAGAAAAACAGGCGCGAAGATTTCTCATTTTGTTAGATCTCTCTATTTGTCAGATGACGTAGTTCAATATTCAGTCCCTAGATGGTAGCTCTATGAACCTTTCCTTCTTCTCGTGCGCATGTTGGTCAGTCACACGTGCTTTCTTTTATCGGTTGTTCAGAGCCTAAGGAAAACGCCAAAGTGAGGGGCACCTGCTCACATGTAGGATGGTGACAGCGAACGTTTAAAAATAAAGGTATCCATCATCTAAAGTCCATTTATGCATTTCTGCACCGTTCGATTATAACGCAAAATTCCCATAGTTTGGGGAACACCGACGTTTTCAAGGCTGAATCGTCAGGAAAATGCTAAAACAAATTAATATAAATATTTTTTATAGGAGAAAGGGATTGACGCCATTCTTGTCATGACGGTATCAAAGCAATGCAACAGATAATTAGTAATTGATTCCTCTAGCGGCCAATGACAACGGGAAAAAAACACCATGCAGACAATTTAAGATATATAAGGCCTATATCTTCCATTCGCCATTCCAAAGATTCCCGGACAGGAAATTTGAGAGTTCTTAAAGTTCCTTCACCTGCTGGCACATCTCTGTAGAAGAACTTGCTATCTGCATCGGCAGCCCTCGGCTCGTCGTATCGGTATCCGAAGCGGCAGATCAAAGTCCCAGAATTGTATGTCACGGAGTAACTCAAGCACGTTGAATTCCTGAAACAACGACGATCACTGAGATTCCAGTTTAATCCGTCACATTGCGCTTCGTTTGCGTCTGTAAAAATGCTACCTAAGTTGTAGGGTTAACTTGGGGGAATGTGACACTAAAAAGGGAGTCCTGGCTGAAACTGCCGAAAAACTCGAATCATTGCGACATCTTTCGAAAACATAGATTAATTTCTCCATCACTCAATCCCAGCAAGGAACATTGAAACAAAAATCAATGGATTTTGCAAATTAGCCTTGCCAAAGGGCAGCTGCGTCCAACTGGGCTGAATGACACATACCCGAAAATTCAGTGCCATAGTTCGATGCATTTTTCTCGTGAATAAATCTGTCCTGCGATCGGTTATCGCATCAAATGTTGGATGCGATGAAAATGCATCACATGGAGGACAACTTTTTTATCGACGAAAATGCATCAATTTGATTATGTTTGTATAGATCAGGTATATATATAGGTAATGTTCACTGCGGCACTTCTGCCGCAGTGAACATTTCATGATGAACTTCAGCCACATCGAAATTTGCCTTGCATGTCCTATTGTGGGAATATAGTGGCTTTTTGAGCTTAAAGCTCGAAAACACAAAACCTCATTTAGGGGAGACAACGGGGCTTTTAGCGAAGGAGCTCTTTTTCTCCCATAGGAATCTATGTATTCTTATGGGATTTTTAAATATCTATGGTTAAGAGTTGGATCTCATATTGGCGATACGTGTTGCACCACCAAAGCACCATACGGAATACAAACACCGTATGAAACTGGACTCGAAGAATGAGGTAAGCGGTTACATGGGAATCTCTTCGAGACGCACGAGCAACACGCACGGGTCGGGAGGAAGGTGAAGTGGCGAAGAGGCCATGTACTCAGGCGGCTGGGTGTGAATCCTTCGACTGTCAATGCATTGCCCCGAAGGTTCATGGGGGGGAGGGAGAGGGGACTTCCTTGGCACGATGAAGTGGAATACTGAGGTTAACAAGGGTCTAGACGATGCGCAGGCACTCAAAACACCAGTCCTACTCGGCTGTAGACGCATTTTGGTTTTTCGAACGCCTTTCAGGCGACCCTGCACGGTTGGGAAGCGAAAGAAGTAAATCGAAAATTTATCGATAAAAATATCGATTCACCGCTTTCTCTGAGTGCAGGGTGAATAGAATATGTGTTTGGAACAAGGTGGATGCCCGATTTGGTGGATATCCGGCTGCGAGTTCGCGTAGGTGTGCTTCAAATCATGTGGATATCTTACTTTGGTGGATTTTTAAGCAAATGTATATCCACAGTCAAGTTGGCTTAGGCCTAAATGGAGGGACGTCGACGTGTTTCAAAATCCAACAATGGTAGATGTTTTCAATGGGAAACGGCACTGCGAATCTCGAACAGCCGTCAAGCACTTAATTCCATAGAATTTTAAAGGTCATTTCTCTCAAGAATAGTGGCGGGCGACTCACAGCTTGCAAGCCATGGCGCACTGAAGCTCCGAAAGAACAAGAAGCTCTCGAATCGGCGACGTGATCTTCATGTTCGAGTTCTGGGGGGCAAAGAACTTCTGAGTCGTGATGGTCCCCATCGCCCTCCATACGAACCAAACGAGGAACCAGAGCAGCTGCTGCATCCTCCCCCGATCCCGTTCGCTGGCCAAGTGGAGGGAAAGCGGCTCATACAGGACATAAATCCTAGTCATGTGGGAAAGGCTCATGTAACATCTTTCGTCAGCGCGGGTTGCCCGTTCCGATCGGTCGGCACGATAGAAACCTGCAACCTCCTATTAAGAAGATTTGCACCAAGTCCATACGTCGAAGTATCATCTTCCGTTTCTGCACCATGCAATCTCCTGCAGGCAATCAAATTACTGTTGAAAGGTTAAAATGATTAATTTCGTGGTGCATCCCTTACTCATGACCTCAAAGATGAAAAATTCGGGTGACTCATCTTTCAGTCAAGCGACGCAGTATTTGTGGTTTCAAAGATTGTAGTGAATTGTTTTTGCATCTTCGTATGCAATGATATTTGACGTAAACCGTTTTAGATTTTTTTTTATCCCGGAGGAAGTGCAACAACGCATTTTCATTCCCGAAAGAGGACCCAGACATGAATTCTTCCCGTGCAGAGCTCCATGCCCATGTCTCCAAGGTGATGAGGCCTGTTACAGACGCAAAGCGAAGGGAATTATTAATGGAGAGTACCGTTTGTTTGTCTCATCAATAGGAAGGAGGCACATAAATGAGACGTTGAGCAGTTTCCTCGTCGATCGGGTTCGGGCATCTGCCCGATTCTTAATCACATTTGTTATCAGTATCATTTATGTCTATTCGACTTGATACGATGAGATTTAACACGTATGTAGGTGTTAAATCCAGAAAGCAATGCTTTCCCAGGAAACTTTCTTTTCTTCCGAAAGGTGACTAGATTCATTCCTTTCCGTCGTATCATGGCGTCGACGGCCTTTCAATGACCAGCCGCTATTGAACATGTTCAAGGACAACATTGAACAAGAACACCCAATGCCACATCACCGGCTGTCAGCGAACCGTCACAGCTGATAGAAAATGATAATATTGCGAAAATGATAATAAGCAGAGGGAAAAAGTCAGTCACGTCAACCAAGGTCCAGTTGACCTTGCCTTTCCCAACTGGTTGCCATGCATCGCACGCGAGGAAACACAGGAAAAAAGATACATCTCTTACTCATCTGGAGCTGAATCTGGAGCTAACGATGGGTTTTCGAAGGCTTCCCGAAGTACCTTTCGCAGATTATGATCGAGTCAGATATAGACAGTCGTGTCTTCTGATTCTGACGCAGGAACTGCAATCATTTTATATTGGTCATGCCGATCTATTGGATTGGAAAGTATGTTCAGTGCAGGTGGTCAAAACAAACACATGGACAACAAATGGACAAAGTAACACCAGATATTCCAGCAACGTTTAGAAAATCTAAATGAACAATGTGGCATCCATGTGCAAATGTCCAAAAACGTCAACGTTGCTTAAACGTTCAAAAGGACATTGCATTGACATTGGAAATCTTTATTTACTCATTGCATATACGTTGCAGAAAAGTTTCAGGACTTATGTAGCTTCATTGGCACCCGATCCGGGCCTATACTGACATTACTGCCCGGAAAAGCATAGGCTTCACAGGTCTTGAACTAGCCCGATATTAGGCCAATATTGAAATATTTCATTCATAATTTCGTACTTCATCTCTCTACCCTGACGTTCCCATCAGCAGGACGAAGCACATCGGCAGGAGACATAGTACATATGTAGAGGGAATCTCACCTTGGATGTGCTAAATATAAAACATTTCAGGAAAATATCAAAATTCTATTGAATATGTACTAAGGAGTGTCCACGATTTCACTCCTTTCTTTCCTCATCTAGTTCCCAGGAAGAGGAAATGAAGAGTTGAGATCACAGACTGTCTACTACAGATTTAATGACTTGCAAGTTATAATCTACTAGTTTTAGGAATGAGTTCTTCATATGAATATGAGCTTAATTTTTTTTTACTCGACCCCATGAATCTGCCTCGAATATGAGGATAACAAGTGATGAAGTGTCCGTGTTCATTGATTCCTATAATATGACAATGCGAGACACATGGCAAGGTACTAAACATTCCTGTGCGGGATGATTCCAGGGAAAGGTAGAAGGGCACTTCAGTGTACTGTGAGAAAAGCGAGACCTACGTCTCCATCTCGTGGCAAGGAAGACAACGTCAAAATTCCCTAAAACTTATTATGTCCATGTTGAATCCGAATTTCGTCGCTACGTTGTCGATGTCAAGAGTGTCAACATTCTCTCAATGTTGATAGGAAATGCTGCAATAACATTCGTAGAAGTGTCGCAACAATATTCTAAGGGAAAACGTTGAAGCAATGTTTTATCGATGTTGTAGATCAACTTGCAACAAAGAGCGACATAGACAACATTTCGGAAACGTTTTATCAACATACAGTGTTACTTGGAAAGGGGATCGCATATTCCGAAACTAAATTCTGCAATTAATTAATATTCGTGGTGGATCGATAGCTGTCGAAGTGCGTGATATCCATCATGATATGTTTTTTATCTCAATGCCAAAAAAGAGTTTATCATTCAGCCTACCAGGCACAAGAATGAAGGGATGCATGGGCGCATTAAACTATGGAACCACACAGACCTAATCAATCATCAACAGGATCTTGTTTAGTCTAATATAGAATGTATAATTGAGTAATGACCAACGACGGTCAACCAAAATATCTCCTCTCTCAGTGGACCTTTTTTGTGCTTAATGGTTCTCCATGCACGCAATTCCTCTTCTTCTCATACGACGGGGAATATGCAAAGAGTCAATTTTGTAGGAAGTGGATGCACCAGTGAGGATGAAATTTATGCCTTGCGATGGTGAAAATGGAGGAGAACTTGAAAAAAAAATTGTTGCGGCAAATTGGACAGAAATGGAAAGGTGAAATTTGGCACAGGTATAAATGACACGATATTACTGAGCTGAGGGAGTATTTATTGATAGCCTTCATGGGGAATCCCTTCCGGGCATAGCTTTTAGGTGGGTCGGCTTTTCCAAGCATGTTTTTTCACAGCGAAAAGGACAAACGTATAGTATTGAAACTTTTTGGGCATGTAGTTCACCGGGCAGACAAAGAAAAGTAGCTGGCGCGCGCATCACGGACGTGATGTTGATTTAAGGAAGAATTAAACTTTTTATATACGTCTCCTCAGAGCACAACTTTTGGGTGGGTCGCTTTTCCAAATATATTTTTTTCCGCCAGCAAAAAGGGAACCGTTTAAAACTGAAACTAGGTGGCATGGAGTTCCCTGGGTCTACATTTCGAAAGAAAAAAAATATTTTGTTATAACCTATTAGGGCACTTTTTTCAGTCCCATTTTCCTGAGTTTTTTTTAATCCAAAGAAACAGAGACAGAAAATTTTAACTTCTCTCAGAAGTACCTGTTTGATGGCTGAGAAGAGGAAAAAAACTAATTTTGAAATATGTCTCCTTAGCGTAGATTATTGGATGGAAGTATTTCAAAATGTATTCTCCACCCTTACAAAAAGGGATGCAAGAAAAGATTTCAAGTTAGGCACACATAGAATCGTAGAGGTCATGATTTTGATAAAACTCAAGACTTTCGACCCCATATGTCAGGTTTTTCAATAGGGAAGGACTTTAAATAAGTGTTTGCCATTTCGCAAAAAATGAATGAAATAATCACTATTCAAGATAATAGAGCGCCGACAGCGCGACCATAGCGAGTTTGTTAGCCCTAAGGGCAGACAAACTGGCTAGTATCTAATATACAGGGTGCGGCAAAATTATGGGAACACGACCCCCAACCACGGTGAAAAGACCAATCACTCAGTAAATATCTTCATTCCGCCTCAGCCTAATATAGTCTACTCAAAATGACCTCCCCTTGCATCGATTAACGATTGTTGACGATGTCTGAACGAAAGTAATAAACTACTTTAGATGGAATAGATGAAAACTTTAAAAATGTTTGGTAAGGAAGTCGTGTTCCCGTAATTTTGCCACACCCTGTATATAGACAAACGTGACGTGACGACGTTTACCAGTCAAATGTGCTATCCCTACACCACCGAAACTTGGACATATAGTAGAATCTCTCGATGACATCCTTATCCATCACGATATATATTTTTTAAAAATCCTCCCCCCAAAATGTGTACCCCCAGGACATGTACCTCCAAAGTCGGATATTTTCTGAACTCTGCACCCCAAAAGGAACATGTGCACCAAGTTTCAGATTTCTAAACTTTCTGGAACATGGTTAGAATTAGCGTCAGCCAGTCAGTCAGTTAGTCAGTCAGTCACGATCGTCTATATATATTGGATAGTATTTCAAAATGTACAGCTCCTGAATCAAAGTAGGCCCGTTATTTCAAAAGGTGCATCTTGAGGAAGGTCAAAGATACAGTAAAAGTGAGCACAGAGATTCAGAGCCGTCTGATGATTATAACGCTGGCTTATACTGCAAAACACATCTGCATTCAATTGATTGAAAAATGCGACAAACTCTTGACAATTTCATACACATGAGAGTGTCCATGCTATTAATATGTACAGAGGAGAAAGTCGCGCAATTAGAGTCACATTTGAGATGAGAGAAAATGATGGAAATAGAGCGAGGTCTTTCACGAAAGAATAATTTCCTGAATTTTTTTAATTCATTGCCGTCTGAATTCCCATTAGACGTAAACTGAATGCAAATAAAGAACTGTAAAACTCGGTACAGTAAATATGCATACATACTATGCCTTTTCTCTAAAATGAGTGCAGCATTTGCAAAAGACAACTTTGTAGACATTCAGTTGAACTTAGGCAAAATGTAGGAGCATGGATGGGAAAGCACTTAATATGGCGATTTTGTTCAATCCTTTGAGAGATTCGTATGAACAAATTTCTCATATCACTTATCATGGGTGAAACACGAGGCTTCATGTAACTCCCTTTACTAAGCGTGGATTTCCACCGGTTGGGGGGGGGGGACATCCGTCTGGTTCCAAGTTCACTCCCTATCCACCTGGTTGTTTGATCAGATCGATAGGGGATGGACGCTTTGTAGGGGTCTTTTCCAGCCAATTAACACTTGATCACACATCATGCAGGCAAGAGTGACTCTGAAAACGTTGCGAAACATAAATACGAAGTATATACACAGTACATTTTTCTTTGAAAAGGGAATATACTGTCCTCCGAATCCGTTTG